CTCAGCCTCCCAAGTACTGGGACTACAGGCCTTGCACTTACCACTGCGCTGGCTGAATTATCATACAGTACTCACTATTAATATATATTTACGTTGTTCAGCTAATTCTCCTTTCTATTTTTTTTTAGTAGAGATGGGGTTGGGCTCTTGCTCAGTGCTGGTCTGCGAACTCCTGAGCTCAACGATCCGCCGCCTCGGCCTTCCAGAGTGCTAGATTACAGGTGTGAACACCTGCTGGCTGTTTTCCCTTTTATCATGTTCTAAGGCCCTCTGCTTAGTCTACCCCAGTTTGTGAGATATGATATACCAGTCTCATCTGTAGGTCTTGTTATTGTGCTTTACAATGTGGTATTTCCTGGCATCATGAACAAAGAAGCTCACATTAGTCTTTGAGGAGAAGGAGAGGAGTAGATCATTTTGGTTATTTTGGGAAGAGAGCTCAGAGTTCAATATCTGGACTCAAAAAAATATGAGGGTGCTGACAAGTTGAGGGAAATGTTCTGAAAGTAGCTGTTGGACCCACGTATTAAAAAACTTTCAGTTCTTCAATTTTGTTTCTCTCCAAACACCATCTGCTTTACATATATTGAAGTCTTTTTGTTTAAATTTTCTTTTTTTTAAATTGGGCCTTGCTGGTAAGCGACCGAAACTCGCTAGACAATTCTAAAAGCGCGCAACACTATTGAGGTGTCTCTAACTACAAATAAAGGGGAGAAGGGAGAGCTGGGGTAGGCATCTTTGGTGGCAGGTGGAAGAGTGAGAGCTGATTTCATGTCTTAGTTTCACATAGCTAGTCCAACATCTGTGTCCTGACTCTGCACAACATATCTGGGCATCGAGTCCAGAGTCACACAAAGTCTAGACAAGGCGCAGAGGCTTCTGTCTTAAAGGGCAAGTGTAAATATCTTAACGGCATTATGGGTCAGAGGGTTCTGTGGAACTACTCATCTTGCCATTGTAGCTTGAAAGCAGCACGACAACAAACAAACAAGTGAGTCATAGTATGTTCCAATAAAAACTTTATTTACAAGCCGGGGCGCGGTGCTCCGCTGGTAATCCTAGCATGCTGGCTGGAGGGCTGAGGCGCGGGCGATTGCTCCGGTCAGGAGTTCGAAACCAGCCTGAGCAAGAGCGAGACCCACCGCGCTCTCTCTCAGTACATCAGCACGGAACTTACTTGGCAACCTAACTAGTAGGTACTCATGAAATTAAGCCGGGCATGGTGGCTCATGCTGTATCCCAGAATACTCGGAGGCTGGAGGCAGCAG